TCACATTTGCGAAACGGTGAAAATACGTTCTAAGGAAGATATTTTAATAATTCTGAATCGAGATTTCTCCAGAAATCAGTATCAAGGTTTTTCGTTATGGGGAAACTATTGGTAATAGCGGCATTTCCCAAAAATGCACAGCAACTTTGGAATAGCAAAAATTTAGGGTGGACCTATAATTATGAAACGCAGTGTATAGTATAGGTCGTGTCGTTGCATTCCAGCACCAAGAACATTGAACTGAAGAGCGACATCACGCTGTGACTTCGTGCTCCACGCCTTCTCTTTGTCTCCTTATAAAACAGAAATAATCAACCGCTGCGAAATCTCACGGGTTTCATCAGTGCTGCACTCAGTAAGATCCGTTTCACAATACTCACAACAAACTTAAGTGCACTGCGTTGAAACGTGGCCTGGGTTCTCCACACTGCGCGCCTTAGCGAAGCGATTACCATCCAAGAATAATCGCGGATTTTTTTTCAGGCTGGTGTTGAACCGCACTGGTGTACATGTTTGAATTGGCAGGACGCTCTAACATTACCTAGCGATCGAGCGATAGCAGAGCAGCTCGCGGAGGCGATTGTGGAAGTGATTAATCGGCAACTAAAGGATGTTTTCCACTTATGTGCCAAGCTGAACTTGAAAAAACTAATGGGAGCGAAAAAGTATAGTTTGCTTTCAACCTAAATTAATTTTAACACGTTGATAACACGACGTTGTGTGCGCATTCATCTTTTCTTACAAATTTGCACCAGTAGTTATCAGTTCACCAATAATTCCGTTATTGGCCAAGTTAAGTATGCTATATTCCGTATCTGATTATGTATGTGGACAGTTGAGCATAAGAATTAATTCACAATCTGTGCAAAACGGGTTCCTTACGTGTGAAAATGCGCGACGTATGTGTCCCGCGCTGTCGTCAAAGTGTTAACACCGCATCAGTATGCGTCTCATCTCGCATCCATGAAGTTTGCTATTCTCAGATTAGTACCGAATGAAGGAGTGTTGAAGTACAAAAATGTGAAGGACGCGGATGGTTTTGTTCCCGATTTAAGCGGTAAAACGGAGACAGCTTTCGCATACTATCAGATCAAACTACAAACACAACCTGGCGACGCAATTTACGAGGTCAGTTCATGTTACAGTACTTGACTCTTACTTTGCTAAAGTGGAGGCGTGCCAAGAGAGTCTCCTTGCTGGTTCCAGATTTCCTGAAAAGAATGAAACGACGAACTGCAAGAAGCGCGAGTTCTGCAGTGCGCCGCATAGTAAGCGCCGCGATGCCCTAAGATCCCTAAGAGCTCTGCTTCACTTTGTGGTTGAGATGGAAGTGGATCAAAATAGAAGTATGTATATAAGTAACCTCTGAATTCTGGCTATCTTTCGACTAGTGTGCCCGTTACGAATGCAACACAGGACAACAATCAATCCATTTAGCGAATTCTCAGACAGCCTTTTCTATTATTATCTGTGCTTCGCAGCTGTTGTGGCATAGACCATGATTTGAGCTACTCCAGCTGGTTTATCTCAGAAAAAGCAATAAAAAACAATGAAAGAGCAAAAATTACGAAATTACCACAGTGGCAAGTACGTGATCGCATAGCTTGCATTATCTTAAGTACGCGTAGGCGAAACGTGGATTTTGTACGAAACGCGCGTAACCAAGCCCTCTGGGAATTGCCATGGGCGATATGTGAAAGGAGTAGACTTAGCTGCGTTAGGTGCTCTGATCAGGTTTCCAAAAAATGGCGTCTGGATCACGCATCAGATTCTCTCGTATGACCATCCGTGCGCTCATATTGTATGAACTTCGCCTGGAAAGGTGGGCCAGCGAGATGGCGTACAAAAACAAGTGCGCCATGGGCTAGGACACGATCTCTCACGTGGCGTTATCAAAATGGCTCGAAGGCTCCACGGAGGACAGTTTAACCTTCCCGACTCGACGCATGGCCGCTGTCTGTTTCAAAGTCGACCGCGCTCTGATCGTAGAAGATTCGAAGAAGTTGTTACATTCTTTTTCAGGGTGCATCAGCTGCTCCCATACGCATGCCCTTTTGGCCCTTCGAGAACTGGGAAAGTGGAAATTTGGTCAGTGGGTACCGCGCGATTTTACCGAGCGGACATCTGCACCGCTACCTCTCATTGCAAAACAACCACGACTGGCGTCGACATATAGCCACTGGCGAAGAGAATTTGTTCTGGATGTGCTGCGTTACCCATACGCAGAAGTGGCTTCAGTAGTTAACTAGAGTTTCACTGTCTCGACCTGATATTTATGGGAAGATGATGATGTCATCAAGTGATTGGAATTGTGACGGCATCATCCGTGATGTTTGTCTGCATGATCGGCGGTGGCAAGCTCTATCTAATGTCAGTTGCTTATCACGGTCGCAACGAAGTTCATGGAGAATTATGAGAAGTAAATCTGCTTCAACAACGCGCTTCCGTGTGTCTACGGTCTAATGCCAGAAGAGCCTTAAAGGCAAAAGTCGGGCTCAATATGGGGTATTATGGCGACTGAAGCTGAGTATGGAGATGCGAAATGGAACGACAGTGGAGAAAAAACGAAAAGAAACCGTCGACAAGGCCGAAAACGAAAACCCTCCTAGTCCTGACTCGTGGTTTTAAATTGAGCTGGTCCACGATTGCCCATCTGCTGTATTTGCGAGACCTGTCCCCATCCGATTTCCACCTTTTTCGGTCGCTCGCCCGTCTTGAAAAACAGAAACTTCGATGACGGAAAGGGCATAAAACCCCATGCCAAAAAGTTTTTCAACAAAAATCACCTAATTACAGCACTGCCGGTATCCCGAAAGTTGGCGAATTGCTGACGTTGATGATGCTAGGTATTCTAGAATTAAACAAGAAAGAAAAATAGGTCTTAAAAATAGGCTATGGGATGTTTTAAAGCTTTTTTCAACCTTAATAGATTATGAAAGCACAGCAAGTTGGCATATCTAGGGGGATGGTAGACCACGGCGGTGTGCTCATGTTGCTGAAAATTAGGATTGCGCACGAATCAGTGTTGCTTCGTCTTATCATATCAGACTTTTTTTGAATTTTCAATCCCGAATTTTCTTTGTTTAGGTGACGCTGTTGTACAACTTCAAAATGAAGGAGGTTCATATCGATCTCACTTCTATCAGTCATCCAAACAAATTTGGTGACAAACCACACTGTATCATAGATAAGAATTTCTTTCTTGCTACTTATTGTGTGTGTCATGATAAGATTTGATACAAAAATTTTTTATTGTCGTAAATTGATAATGCAGGAGTTTGAAGTTACTCATGCAGTGGTTGTGAAGCGCACTACTTCCTCGGGTTTTCTTATTGTCAGTACCCACGAGAAATTGCCAATCAGATATCTTTCACATAATCGAATATCTTCCAAGTCATCAGGAACTGAATGTCAGAGACGATTATGAGCAGAAGCTTGTACTTTCGACCTTCCATAGGTACTATTGTAAACGCTCTGTTTTACGTTCTTTCTTGCCTTTCACTTCAAATCAATTTTGGATAGTCGC